GGAGCGCGAGACGCAAGGCCAGGGCGGGACACGGAGAAGAGAAATAGCGGAGACGTTCTCAATGTCGGGACCCCCATAGACATGACTTTAATTCCGGAGAAGAGGAGCGACGTCTTCTCCTCCGAAGAGAACTGAAATCCTTCCCTCCCTTCCTCCCTCCCTCCCTCCTTCTTCCTCCGAGCAGAGGAACAAGCTTCGCCGCGTTTTTGAATAGCGCGCATAATAGCGTTCGTCTTTGAGTCTTCTTTTTTAAATTGTCCGCGGTAAAATCGCCAACAAAAGGTGGAGGTAGCGAAGGTGAGAGGGAGAGGGAGTTACGTTATTACGTTTCTCGCGTGGATCCTATAGGAACTAAGCTATATATATACATATATTGTACGAGTATAACGATATATATCGAGATATCGTACGTGGTGTGGAACATGGTAGTGCAACAACTATCGATCTCCGAAGAAATAATTCACCGGTGCTCGGACAAGACTTAATTATCCGCTTTTTCCCTTATTACTCGCTGTCGTCGCGCGAGCTCGATTTATGGCTGTCCCGATAAAGTCAACGGCTCTGCATTAACATTACGTAATAATAATACTCGTACTATCTCCCGTCGGCTGGAAAACGGCCACGGCGAAAATAAAAGGGGAGAGAGGCCACTCTGAGCATTTTCTACGCTCCAACGGTTGAGTAATGGGCGAAAAGGGCGAGGAAAAAAAAGGAAAAGGAAAAAAGAAAAGACGCGGAGGAAAGGAGGAGGGGGAGAAAGGTACAAATCGGCCGTGAAATTCAAGATTTAACCCCATCTTGCCGCGCGAGAGGCGACGAAATCAAGCCTCTCATCGGCTCGGTGATATGATAAACACCGAAAATGACAGCAGCCATCCCGCGTCTTTCCCCCTCCCCCTTTTCTTCTAGCATCCTCTTTGCCCTTCCATTCACTCTCTCTCTCTGTCTCTCTTTCCGCTCGTCTTCCCTGGGCTCTTCGAGTTAATCACGTCAGGCAGGCAGACCCTCTGATTAAAACGGGGCCTCCATCCCTTCTTATTATTATTGTTATTAGAGGAAGTGAGTGCAGGGCACTCGGGGAATCGCGTCGGGATAGACGGCTCTCCTCCGTGTATACGTGCCTCGTATAGATACACCAACGTATATATACGTTTTTGCAATCCCCCCTGCACCTTCTCCTAATCGTCCGAATTTTCGAGATTATTAAATGGCTGACGAGAACTGCGAATGAATCTTGTTTCGTACGTTCCTTAATTAACTTTCCTCGCCGCGCTATTAATCGCCACCCCAACAAATATATATATATATATATATATATATATCGTCCCTCTTTCCTCGTCTTTTCCCGAGACAA